AACCGAAGCGCCGGCTAATCTGCGGTTTCGATGGGACCTACTTCTTGAAGGCTCTTCACCCGTACCAGCGAGCCGACGGCTCCAAGGGCATAGTAGGTGGCGCCTTCCAAGCTGATGCCGACCAGTCTTGGTTGCCGATCGGGGAAAGCGAAGCAGACTTGGACACCAGCCAGGTGACGTTGGCGCGGGAAATGTACGAGTTCCTGGTGTGGAGCCCGGAGCTGGCTCGAAAGTTTCCTATCCCTGTGTGCTCCGTGCCAATCCATGCGCTCGATGCTGGGGCCGTGGCGGAGCTGCTTGGCCAGATCCTATCGTCTGCTGGACAGCGGGTTGGGGTGCTGATCGCAGACAATGCGACGCCGCACAGCATGGTGAAGGACATCGTCTTTGGTCGGAATAAGCGTGACCTGTCCTCCGTCACCTTTTGGAAAGGAGTGGACTACCAGGACTTGCCTCCGCACCATATTCCAGGCCTCCAGCTACGGATCTGCAAAATTGACCGAGAAACTCTGTTCTACGTCCCAGGCCCATGTCACGTGCAGAAGCGGGCCGTGTGCCAACTGAGGGTAGCGCGCAAGTGTTGCCTTTTCGGTGAGCTCCTGATAGACATGGCCAGTCTCCTGGAGCTCGGCCTATGCGTCTGAACCTCGGTTCGCCGGTGTCCTTTCTAAATTGCACAGGGGCCAGCCCGAAACACTCTCTCCTCCGAGTCTCTCATACATATATAGTTTTAATTTTTTGATGTTCCAATCTTCGTAGCATGTGCACGATGATGTCGAATGGCTGAAACTAAGGTACTGAATCCAGCATGCTATGCCATCGACCCTCTGGCATCGACCATCCAGGTTCCCTGGAGTTTGTTGGGCATGTTCGCCATCAACCTGACCTTGGCTTTGGCGCAAAGCTCCGTTTTGCATGGAGCTCTGTCGGCCGAGGACGACTGCCCACTTGCCTCCCTCAGGCCCGCCTGCTTCCTGTGTCTGCAAGCTCGCAGGATCGGTGCCTCAATGCCATGTCGGCCTATGTCCTGTTAGACCTGGCCATGATGACCCGCGCGAGGAACGGAAAGCGTCTCAACATGCCACCGCAGGACACCTTCCTGTCTGCCACGACGGTGCGAAACGTGCAGGACCCGAACTGCAACGCTGTACCTCTAGGATTCCAGTACCTCAGTAGAGCGTGCGGCCGAGTGTCCTTTCATGTGAAACAGGACTTGGCATGCTCGGCCATGCTCTTGACCATAGCGGCTCCCGAAGGCTGGCGCTTGCGCTGGCCCTCGCTCACCGAGATGGGCGTGGAGACATGGTTCGCTGCTCTCCGGAAGCAGCTCCCTAGCCATCAGATGAGTGTACGAGACTTCTTCTTTGCCAGCGCGCGCAAACAGCGCAGGACACAGTTGGACTTGCAGGCATCTCTTTGTAAAGTGTTTGGACTGCGCCTAAAGATGGGGCTAAGTACTGGACCGAAAGAGTTCACGGACGACGACAACCACTGCCGTTCAAGGACAAGGTCAACTTCAGCGGCCGCGACTCCCTGGGAGTCTTCAGCCAAAACGATCGCCGATTCTACTTGGCAAAGAAGAAAGAATCGCCGGGACAAGTGACTTACAGCTTACTGGGAGAGGAAGAAAAGAAGATCTTTCGTCAGTCCCGCGACACGGAGATCAAGTCACTACTCGAGTCGGGGGCCATCAAGATCTTGTCTTTGGAAGAGAGCCGTCGGTTTCGCCGAGAACACCCACAACACGTGCTGACCTCCCGATATGTGGATAGGTGGAAGCCAACGGAAGCGTTTGCCGTCCTCCCTGAATATTTCAACGCCAACCAGCCTGGAGTGCATCGAGCTCAAGTTGCGGCCAAAAGCAGGTGGTGCGTTGTAGGCTGGAAGCCCGCAGGTATTTGAGATTGAACGGGCGGCTCCAACGCCGTTATCAAGCTCCATCTATCTCTTCCTGCTAGTATGCGCCTCTCGCGACTGGGATGCTTTTTCAAAAGATGCGAAAACAGCATTCCTGCAAGCCCGGCCCACGACTCGAAAGCAAAAGTTGGCGTGTACTATGCCTTCGGATGAAGGTTTTCCCGGCTACCACAAGGAGCAGCTCATCAAGTCTACGGACTGGTCAGCGGGCCGTCCTGGTGGCGCAGATCACTGCTGGAAGTATTGGTCAAGGAGTTCCGCTATCGGGTGTCGGCCTACGACAAGTGTGTTCTCTCGTTGGATGGAGCTGCCGAAGACGAAAACCCTGACAAGACGCAGGGCCTCATCGTGATTGAGGTAGACGACATCCTGGAAGCCGGTGGAAATCGTCATCGAGAGAGCATGAACAAGCTTGAAGAGAAATCACGCTTCGGCAAAATCGTCAAGCTTCGGGATCACCCGGAAGGCACTGCCTATGAATGCCGGAAAGCCCGCGCCAGTTTCCCTCGTAGGTTGGACCTCGCGGAGACTTAGACGCAAGCCGGCAACACACTACTGTGCGAATCAATTGCATTATCCACTGCACTAGGCGCCGCGGAGAAGCAGCTCAGCATGTGGCGAAGCTTCTGTCTCTCGAATTTCTTTCCGAGAGCCGAGATGGAACCCACTGACGAAAAACTAGGCCTTCGTGGGACAGCTACAGTCATTGCTGAAGAAAGCGCTGGCTTCCGCGACCCCATGACGGTCGCTGTGGTTGATGCCAAAAGCTTGTATGACGGAGCAAACTCAGAGCAAGCACATGGAGATGACGACCGGAGCGCTCTCGAGATCGCGATCATCCGTGAGAGCCTTGGCAAGCTCTCTGGAAGGATGCGATGGGTGCCGCATTATCGGAACCCCGCAGACGCCTTGATAAAGCTAGCAGGGGCTCACATGGCTCCCATGATGCTGTTGCTGAAGAACAATGAGTTTCATGATAGAAGAAGAAGAAGATAATATCCTTCAGCAAGGAAAGCAAGCCGCTCATCGTATGAAAGTCAAGGCATGAGAAACAGCGACCTCGGGCATGATAAACATCAAGCCTGAAGAATTTTTAGGGGCTGAAAGTCCCATGTCAGAGTCTAGGACTCCGAACCGTCTTGACGCTGAAGCCCTGCGGCATATCGGCCCGAGGCCTTGAGTCATGATGTGTGCGCAGCTGTGAAAACGAGCTGTCCGATTGGATTAGATCCTTCAGTTGGTAGCGGAGCGGTTGCGGTCCAGGTACCGTCCGCTGTAGATGGACCCACGGGCGGACTATTTTGCGTCCCGTGGGTCGACAGCAAGCCACGATGCGCGTGCAAGCAGCGACGCAGCTGGATGCAATCAACGAAGTGTGTCGTCTATGCCATCTGGGATGGGTGCTGGGTTTTCAAGTGCTAGACAAGCCTGGGACACCGCCTCGGCAGGAGCCTTGGGAATGACCTTACAGCGGCCTCTGGCCGCAGGCTGGGCCTTCACTTGGCTGCGGCGATGGCAGCGGAAAGCAGAACCCAGGGCCAAGAAGAGAACAAGCGGAAGCTTGCCCGGACTCGGACTGGAATTTTGGCGTGACAGCAGACAACGGTCATGCAACAGCCCGCTTCCAAGGGACCTGTCGCCCTGTGAGTGTGATAGAGCTTCTTCAGGACAGCAGTCATTCTAACTTGTTTTCGCTTACTTCGTTCTAAGTAACTTGCGATCCTCATCGTTCCCGAAACCTTATGCCAAGAAGTGGTCGAGTCTGGATCCGGAGCATGGGTTCGGCAGTAGTTACTAGCCGATCAAACAAAGCCCCTAAGGCCCCTAAGCCACGTAGGCCTCCAGGTGATGCGGATTTAACTCCCAACCATCCCTAGCCACCTTGGACGTTTCACCGAGGGTACTGCTGCGTGGGGTTGTTCAAAGCAGCGTCCCTCTTGGCCTGCCTGTTCAACGGAAAAGATTTCTTTGTGCAGTGGAGAGTGGAAGGCCCGCGTAAGAGGAACCCTACTTCCGAGCAGCCCCTACGTCAAATGCGGCGGATGGGCGTCCACACAGATGCTCGTGGAGCGTCCTGTGGCCCGTCAGGTTCTTGCACTGCACCGGTTTAGGGCTCGAGATATATAGATAAGGGCGCAAGTTCAGCTTGCAGCATGGGGCGCTGTGATTTATTATGCGGTGCAGAACAGGAACATGCAACTGCAGCAAACAACGCCATCACTCTTTTCCAGCAGCGACGGCGAAAGCAGTAGGAGTTGAAAAGCAATAGTCGCGATTGTGGTGGTAGTCGTTGGCTTGGTTGTGGAAGAAGAACGGCTCATGGTAACATCATCCTCCAAAGCGGTTTGCACAAGGACGGGTCACAGCGGCCATTCTCAAATGAACGTCGGAATACTGGCACATCGGCCCCTTCCCCAAAACTTTTGGAAACGCCACCGACTGGCCAAGGAAAATCCGACAGGTCATGTCAAAGTCTGCAGCTTTGAAGTCAAGAGTTTCCCATACGAAGCCATGAGTTGCAAGTGTTATTGGTTGGTGATCGCATCGTTAGTTCGTCACTATGTTCCTATATCTCCCAGTTTGGGGCCAGGGGGTCGGAAGCTGGGAAGGCAGAGTTTTCCCTCCTGTGCGTTTGACTGTCGAAGACATGCCGAACTGCACTTTTCTGACGTTTGACAACTGACGATTCCCTCGACCATCTTGGCAGGTGTTCAAAACCACAGAATTCCCCCAAGACTTATACATGTTTCAGCTTGTGCGGCTCAGCTGTCAGAAACCACCAGACATGCACTTTCCAGCAGCTGGTGAGGCTACTCGCTTCGTTGCACTAGATCGTTCCTTTCGGCGATAGAAAGGCGCTCAATGAAGGATATGATCATGAGCCTTTACCAACAGCGCAGGGCAGATCGGTTGTTCTTAGAGGAAGTGATACGGGGATCTGCTAGGCTTAGCGGAGCTTGGGGTGGGACGCAAGGACTCATCGCAACGGGCTTAGGTTTGTTTCGCACATCGAAGTGGTCGTAATCCACCAACCGCTAAGCAGCCAACGGATACCCCTCAGCCTCAGCCCTTTCTTCTGGCAGGTGCCTGTGCGGGGGAGTACGGTTGGGGAGGGCTTGCAGGACCTGCCTGGACCATCGACCCCAGGCAAGCAATTTGGAGGGGGGGGGTTCGTGAGCAGTAGGGCGTGGGAGCTAGGCTGATGAATTGAGGTTCAATGTTGCGCGGGATTTCGGATGAGGGTTGCGTCGGGATCCAGCTTGACAACTTGGATGCAGGTCTAGGCGGAGTTGCCAGGCAAGGAAGAGGCTGCTACTGTGCCCCTTTCTCGTTTTGCAAGACCTGTCCATGTAGACACTACATCAATCGTGAAGCTGGCTAGCTCCACTAAAAGTACAGGTCGACTTTTCCAGGGAGGGCCAAAATCCGACTTTGTGATTATGATGACAGAAAGGGCTGTCACGCAGCCGGTTCCTCCTGCACTTTGCTTCAAGCTTCTACTGCAAACTAAAGTCCCCCAAGCAGCAAGAAGTCATGACCGGACTCAAGCCCTAAAACCCCAGAAAACCCTAAAGACTCAGTAGCTTTGTGTAAGCTTTTGGAGGGCTGCTGGTATAGCAAGCTCGTGACAGTGCAAGGCGATGTCAAGAAAACCGGGATCCACCAATCAATTTGCCAGCCGATGTTTTGCCCTAGAGTGCGCAAGATGAGAGAACCCGTTCTCGGACACACTGTTCGGCCCGCCCATGGACGGCATCAGTCTTTGCCTTGCTATTCTGATGATAACTGGTTCTACTGTTCTTGCGGTGGTCGTGGTCGTACTGTAGGTGCAGAAGTCGTCGTCGTCGTAGCAGAAGCCGTAGTAGTAGTAGTAGTAGTAGTAGTAGTAGTACTAGTAGTACTGGTAGTACTGGTAG